TCACTGTTGTACGCCCACGGATGTCCGATAGTGTTTGATGGGGATGTCTGATAGTGTTTGAATTTTAGATTTTTTCTACAAATCCAAATCATTTGAAATTTTAGGCGTGTGTTCTTCTCATCAAGGCGCACCTAATAAAAATATTAAAAAAATAATTCGCGAAAACAAAATTGGCCAAAATACCCCCCAAAACTTTTCAAGGGTATTTTTGTCAATTTATTTCATGTAAAAATAATTGATATTTTTTGCAGATTTGCCTATTTTTGAAGGACACACGCCTAAAATTTCAAGTGATTTGGATTTGTAGAAAACAAATTAAAATTCAAACACTATCGGACATCTGTGATTGTCAAATCGGCCCAGATTGAATCTGGGCCGTGGGCATGTACTGTAGCAGTACGCATCTGGGCGCACAAGATCTTTTCCCTATATATATATAGGCAATGATTTCATGCAATGGTACTATAGTAATATAATGAAACAATCTTTAAAACCCATGACAGGGTCATTTGTTGGACCCCAATTTTTAAATATATTCTTTAGTAACTAATGAACAATCACAAAAATGCAAAATTTGAAAACACATCTTATAAAGTGTATTTTTAGCCCAATAAATATAGGTTGTCCATTTGATGAGAAGGTTAGATAGGGGCCTTAGAAAGATTTTTTCCCTTACCCAATTTTTTAGATGGAGATGAGCAATGCTCAAGAAGCAAAAACTGGCTGTGAGTTCGTAACGGCCTAGATCTTGAAATTCACCAATTCGATAGTTTAGATTCATCGTTGGAGGGAGACTCATTTTGACCATATCTAAGGTGCAAATTGAATTTTATTTTTTGGGAATTGATTATTGGGATGATGAGAACGGGTGTACAATTTTTGGGGTCAGACAAATGGCACAAAGACGGTTTTCTTGAAGTGTCATTTTATTATATTACAATGGCACAATGACATGCAATCACTCCCTTAATATATATATATATATATATATATATGGATTTTTATAACAGTTTCACTCCACGAAATCCTATAAGCTACATATAGAAAAGGGGGTAAAGTGCTAAAATTATTAGGTAGCCCCTTTCTTAATCCTATTTCTATAAAATAAATATCAGCATTTTTCTCATTAGAAAGAGTAATGATGATATTTGCACTAAATGACAAATGGTATGTTTGTCATTTCGAGAAAGACATATTTGAAATATTTACTAAAAGATAATGGCATTTGCATATAGTGTACTTCAAACTTCACTCCATAAATACCCTTGTCTTTTAGTGAAAATATCAACAATACCCTCTCTAATGACAAAACTGCCCTTATTAATTTTAAAGACAGAGAATAACTAAAAGGACAACTATGGTAATGTTAATAGTTCACATCTCATTCTAAACGTAACCTCTAGGATTCTATAGGGGGTTCCGTTAGGAAAAACCCCATATACATACATACATACATACATACATATATATACATATATTGAAATGTAAGAATCCTTAATTTTTGACGACTAACTTTCTTTATAAAATAGAAGAACCCAATCCAGTAAAGCGAGTCCACAAGGGGTAGGGGGGCGGAAAGAGAGAGAGAGAGAGAGAGAGAGAGAGAGGCCCATACAGCAAAATGAACCTGAGTGCTGACAATGGGCTTCTCCACTATGCATCAGATATTCAGAGGCCAAGCAAACATGGAGATGGGATGTAGGAGACTGGGTTCCATGAAGATAGGGTGAAGGTAACTACATAAAGATAAAAAGATAGAAAGAAGTAGGTAATTAGGTTTCTGGAGTTGGAAGAATATTAGAACATTTCGCATAGCCCTTTTTCTCTCTTTTTTGTGTGTGTGGGTTGGAGGGGCATAGAGAGAGTGAGAGTTCTTTGTAAAAATGTATATGGGAATGATCTCATGTCACCATGTCATTATAATATAATGAAACTACACTTCTAGAAAACCATGTTTATGATATTTATGTGATCCAAAATTTTGCACACGCACTATCTTCATCCCAATAATCAATCTCAAAAAAGATAAAATTCAATTTGCACCCTAAATAGGGTCAAAATGATCCCCTCTAATATTGAATTTACACCATCCATTTGGTACAAGATCTAAGCCTTTATGAACTCAAAATCAATTTTTTCGTTTTGGACATTGTTATCTAGTGATAAGAAGGCTATCGAAAAAATTTGAAAAGGTAAAACATCATTCTAAGGCCGAGATCTAAGCATCCCACTATGATGGACAGCCTATATGAAGTGGGCTACAAAACACTGTCTAGGCGTGTTTCAAATTTTTGCGTTTTTGTTATTGTTTATTAGAATGAAAAAAGTGTATACTTTTGGGATTAAAAAAAGGGCCCCGACATGGTTTTTGAAGATTGTTTCATTATATTGCTAGAGAACTATTGCATGAAATCACTCCACACACACACACACACACACACACACACACATATATATATACATATA